TGTACAACAATGCAGTGCGTAAAAAAGAAAAATATCAGAACTTGATTAGCGAAATGAGTAGAACTTTCAGATGTGTGAAATTTGTAAATCTCTCTCTGAGCTCCCTTGGCGTTTTCTCAGATGAATGCCCTACGTTCTTAGGCATGATGAATGACATAGGTATTGACAAAAAGCAGCAACTTTACATTATCAAGAAAATGATAAATATAGCTATTAGAGCAACATATTACGTCTTGTGTTGTAGAAATAGGAATTGGGACAACCCAGATTTGATGCAATTTTGATTTTTGTGTATGTTGAATAAGCCAATGTCAAGCAGCATTTGTAAATTACAATTGTACATTTCAAAACACAAATAAAGTTTCCATAATTATCATCACTGTTATTATTATTTGTCAATTAGTTGCTGTAGAGGTTTTACCCGCTATAGCAGCATCAGACAAAAGTGGAACGCGGAGTTCCCAGTTCCAAACTGATAGCGCTAAATAGATGAAGTCATGTTTTTGAAAAGATGTCTTTGTAGCAAGCAGGACGAGAGTAACTGGGACTAGCCTAGGTGATTATTATGGGATTAAAAAAAAGAAAAGGATCCCACGAGGGAAACAAGACGGTTAAAAACGACAGTCGAGGAGAACGTTACTGTTTGTTGTGTTAGTTATTTCGCGTGATTAAAGTAGTGTGCAACATCTTTTATCTAAAGTTTGCCCGTATTTTTTTTTTTTTTACAGTCTGAAAGCGTCGAGGACATGAGCTCTACAGTTATGAAGTGCGTGCCATCTTGTCTTATCCTCACTAATGTCAAAGTAGGTAACATGTTTTATGGTCAAGTCTCTCTTAACTATCAGAAAGGCCCCTGTAAGCTTCTCTAAACAATGTTTTGGAAACTATTATAGCTTGATAATCCGTTCAGAACCGTGCAATAAAGCGAGTGCGAGGGCAACCTTTCGTTACCACCATTGTCGCCCTAATTCGCTCGCACTGCAGACGTTAATTTAAGAAAAATCAGAGGGTTTGTTGAAATGCTTACACTTAACCGTTGTCAAGCAGGTGGTCAGTGGATTGGGCTCTTCAGAAACATTCCTTAAAGACGTTTGTTCCAGACATTAATTAATTTTAACTACGTCATTGAAAGGTCTATTGAGAGTAATGACACTTCGCGTTTTGACATTCCAAAGAGGCATGTACCGTCTCCTAAATTGCTTTCACATGTGCTTAAAACAGGGGTGCGTATTTCGCCAGTTTGAATTTTGCTCGACAACCTGACCGTTCAGTTTATTTTTAACTATGTTTTGATGTTAGAAAGTCTTGCTCCTAAGCTCCTTTGAAGTTAATTTCGATATTTAACTAAGAAGCACACGTAGTTTCACCTGCTTTTTAATTCCGGAATTTGAAAATTTAATGATTTCTGTGGCATATTCTCCTTTAAAGTGAATCACCTATCATGGAATATTTCTTGGACTTATTCAAAATAATATATAATTTGACTTCTCTTTAAAGATTTTAGCGTGCCTCCCTAATCCAACCAGAGACGAAACGTTTCAGCTGCTTAGTGAATGTTCTGTACAAAGTGTGACCAGACTATTTGTAGACAACGATGTCAGGAACTATTGTATTTTGGTAGGTTCGCCAAAGTCACTTGTTAGTCGATCCTTCCCGTTTTCTACTACCCGACACGTTATCTTATTTTAAGCCCTGAAGCAGATTTTTGAACTTTTATTTGTGTTATCATCAGATTTTATTTAACGAGCCACGATTTCAGAATTAGCGAAATGACAAGAAAAACGTTCTGTAGAGATTGGTGATAATAAAAGTTTATTCTGCGAAGATCAATGTATTGTGGAAAAATTTATCTTGAAGCATTTATTTTTTTGGAATTTTTCTGTGTGCTTTGTCTAAGTTGTTTGTTGATTTCGCTAAGTTTTTCTATAGTTTATCTGTTCACGTGACCACACGCAACAAAGCTTGGCAAACCTGAAATTTAACTGGGGTTTCAAAAAAAGCCGGTCACCAGCGGTCTACTGCCGCCTATAATACCTCTTACTGCCGCCTGTTGAGCCTGCGAGCAGGCTCTCGTGCTTGGGTTTCGCCTTACTGCCCCTTATCCGGGGACAGGTGCCGTTTACGCCATCGGCAGCCGCTTATGGAAAAAAGTTATTGAAACTCCTGTTTGAGCAGGTTCCTGTGTGCTATGGAGATTGGTTACTGTCACAGTCGATTGAGCACTTTGTGTTATTATGTTAGCTGGGTATCCTATTGACCATCGCATTTTTGTTCTGCACCTTTAGGAGTTTGAACGCAGTGAATTTACCGCTACAGAGTCTTCTTGGTTTATTTGGTTCAAAACGGAGTATGAACTTGCAAAATTTGAACGTGCTCTGCTGGAAGCTTGGCGGGAGCTTTTCCAGGTTGGTCTAGTCTC